ATCAAAATAACTTTCATGTATTCGTATACATATATCAAAAGAAACCGATAATATATCGAAAGGTCATTAAAATAAATCCGTTGTACCGTGGCAGGACGGCAAGAATTTTGAAATGCTCCCTTAACAGTATTAGGCACTGTTTTAATCTTCTTGTTTGAATCAATCATTTTCTTTGTTTACAGCTAACAGCAGATCATACAAATGAACGTCAAAACATGGACGAAATTCAAAGACGTAATGATGAACTTATCAATGAAGTATGCATCATTACATTACAAGAGAGAAAAAAATTATATTTTTTAACTTTATCTCTTTTTTCTCTATTTTAGATGTCTACGTTGAAAAACGATAATGATCGTTACCATGATCAAATTCAACATTATGAAACGACAATTGAAGCAAAAGATGATCTATTAAAATTGAGTGAGAACGATAAACAACAATTACAGTTGAAATATGCTGATTTAGAGAATAAACATGCTGAACAACATAATCTTGTCGTTAACGTAAGTTATTTTATTCTATTATGATGTCTTCTATTATCAGACATATTTTTTAAGTTATCAACTCATTTGGCTGCGAAAGAAAGTGAAACGATGAAATCATCAACAACAGCAGTAGATGAAAATCAAACATGGAATGCTGTTTTAGAAGCAAATAAGTAAGTTTATATATTAAGATGTGAGTAATAAAATTATATCATTGATTGAATCATTTCAGTTATCTTCGTACGGAGAATACTCATTTATTAGAACAAATTGAATCAGTACAATTGGATAATGCTAAACTAAATGAAAAATGTTCTCAATTTGAAACAAAATTAGTAGAAAATTCACAAATCATTGACGAATTAAATGCTAAAGTTAGTTAATTATTATTTGAATTTGAACAATTCTTATTTTCATTATAAATTTTAGAATATGTCACTTCAATCACTTCAAAATCGATTTGATAATGATCAAGCTAAAATAAATAATTTAAAACAAATGTGTCTATCATTTGAACAAAAAATAACAGTGAAAGATCAAGAAAATGAACGTCTAACAAAATTAATTGATGAGTTAAATCAACGTATACAATCATTGACAAATCAATTATGTGATACTGAAGAAAAATCAAAAATTGTTGAAGAAAACATTAAAGTTAAACAAACAGACATGTAAAAATTAAAAAACGATTAGATGTATATGTGTCATCTTTCTCATTTATATTTCTAGTGATAAACAAATTAAAGAAATTGAGACATTAAATGGACGTATCAAAAAAGCTGAATTAGATAATCAACAGGCACAGACAACAATTTCTAAAGTATTATTATTATTAAAGTATGTATTATTTATCCTATTAGTTATTTATCCTTTTTTTCTTAGTTACAAAAGATCGCGCGAAAATATCGTCAACAAGCTGTACAAACGGGTGGTTCTAAAACGGAAAATGTTATTGATTCGAGTGTTGTTAATGAAGGTGATGAATTATTAGGTACTTCAACTTCTGAAGGTGGCATAGTTGGTCAAGTAGATCAACAGTCAACAATTGTCACACCCGCCCTAACAACACAATCAAAAGTAAGTTTAAGGGATATAGACAACAAAAACAACTGTAGATCATTTTATTTTTAATTAGTTATCAGTAACACCTACTAGCATACCAACTGATGTCATCGAACGTATGGCTAAATTACGTGATGCTATTGTTCATGCACGTAGTGTTATATCAACACAACATGTTCGAATAATGCAGTTAACCACTGAGCTTGCACAAAGTCGACAAAGTCATATTTCATCAGATTTAACTGGTTTGTATTCGTTTGATCTATTTTGTATAAGATAAATATTTCTTTTTTTTTCTCAGAGGTTCATCAACTTGTCGATAATATAAGACAAACTTATGAAACAGAAATACAAGATTTAAAATATACGCTACAATTATTTGAAAATATTGATGCATCTGAACAAATGAATGAAATAATAAAATTAAGAAAAAAAATTGAAGAATTAACAAATAACAACAAGGTAGATCAATGTATTTGATAATAGTAAAATTTATTGTGTATGATAATTATTTTTCATTCATCTAGGCTACATCATCAACATCAACTATTTTACCAACAAAACAATCAGAAGACGTTGTTCCAAAACAAAAACCTCAAGCCATTGCCTCTCCAATAACACAGTAATGATAAAGAAATAAGAAATTTTTTTTTATTTCAAATAGAAAATGTCATTTTATTTATAGAGATCCGTCTGTCTCACGTATAGCACCAATTATAGCCCAGCAACTTCGACAGATTGGCGTGATACAACCGATCACAGCAACTTCAGTTCAATCACAGTCACCTTCACAACAAATGACAACATCAATACCTCCAGTAGCACTACAAAGTTAATAGAAATTGCTGTTCTAACATAGAAAACGTTTCTATAAATTTTTTTGTTTATTTTTAGTTTCTTCTACTATAATTGACACATCTACAAATGTTCCATCAACAACGATCATATCCATTCCCATAACGACAAGCGCTGCCACAGTCAACAGTAGTATAACAAATATTATTCCATCAATTTCTTCAAGTTCAAATGGTAGTTCAAATTTATTTATGAAACGTATTCGTCCAGATGATGATATGCGGTAAATTTATGATTTTCTTTTTTTTAGTTCATTTAAAACTCATTTATATTTTTCTATTTTAAGATCTGGAGAAACAACATTAAAACGGACAAAACCGGAAAATGAGGTATGTCATATTTATTATGGTCTTATTTTATTTGTTTTCAAAATTTATTGTATTTAAATCTAAAGGCATCGCCGCCACCTCCAGTTGCTCATGTTGAACCCCAAGTGCGAGTAACAACAAGTAGTACAATAATACAAGTACTTAGAACTAATCCTAAAAATTATTAATAAATTGAATGATCATATTTATTGCTTTAGGAATCAACTCTCGCTATAGAAATCGATGATGGTGGTCAAGGTATGCTGAAGAAAAAATAATTTGATAGTCTACTGCCATTTTCTGTTATTTTTTTTTTATTTTTTTATATAGACATAGTAGAAATGGACCAATCAACGGTAAAATTATTAGCATAAATAAATGATTATCCAATTCTAAAAGTTTTTATTTTGTAAATTTTTAGATGTTTACTGATGATGATTTAGGTAATCGAAGCGATATGGGTGTTAATATTCTTACTGAAACTCCAGTTACTTCCAATCTATCTGAACAATGTTAGTAAATAAAACAATGACTAATTGTATTTTTATACAAATAAGATGTACAAATTATTTTAGCGATAGAGCCAGTGGCTCAGAGTCATACGATTCAAGTAGCTGTTGATGATCAACCTGAAGTACGACAAGAAACAAATGAAGGCGGTATGTTTCTCTTATATTAGAATATATTCGACTTATTTTGCTTCAATAAGTTAGAATAGTCAAAATTCTATCAATGAATTTGAATATATTAAATAAATTATAAAATTATCTAAAATTATAGTAGAAAAATAGAATTTCAACTTACTTGTAGAAACAATGGATTATTTTATATCTATTAACATATTGTAGGAGATCAAACGGAAAGAAGAGAAATTGCTCCAATTGTTTATGATGTTCAAGCAATTCCCACAATTGGAACAGTTCAACCAAATATGGCCTCACGTGGCAGGCAGATACGACCACAACCAACTAGTATGTTGAATAATTTTTTTGCTTTTTTAATTTGATGAATTAAAATTGATCTTATCTATTTTATTTATAGTGCCTCTCCGACGCGCTCCTTGGTCGTTTAGAGGTGCCCCGCGAGGTCGAGGTGGTCCACCACCACGTCAATAAGTTACTACGAGTAGAAAAAAAATACTGTTTGTGTTTTGTGTTATCCAATGTAATGTTAATATTTTTTTATATGGATGTCACATGTAATCTGTTCGTGTCTTGTTCTTGTTTTTTGTTATGAAATTAAATTTTTTCGTTAACACTTATTTTTCTTATTGTTCTGTGCACAGTTTTTTTTCTTCTTACTGATAATAGATAGTCTTTTGGTTCATAATAAACACAGAAGACGATGCATTACTAAAACAAAATAGTTCTAAATGAATATCAAAAAATGTAGATTTACTATCCATACCAAAATACAGTGCCGGGTGCCACTTTTTGAATAACTTTTGATAGGAATGAGATAGAGACCTGCGATTTTCGCTGTTCAATAGCCAAGACTTGAGCAGAACTTTTCACAAGCG